TGAACTTAGTTCTTGTAACCGATGCACTATTCAACATAGATTCATGTAGATGACTATTCATAACTTGATGAAGCTTCATTCTTTATTTTAATGATAGCTGTTCATGAAATCATAATACTTACAGTTTTCTGTACCTGGGATTAATGAAAATTTCACTGAATCAATGAAAATGTAATTTATGAAAGCAGTTCATTGATATTATGATCAAGATTTTTTTGAGTGTGGCGCCTTTTCCACGGCCATTTTCTTGTAATTCGACTCGAACCTTTTCGAATGGGATGGTCCAGCGCAGTTTGGATCACTATAATATGGTCGTTTTGGAGCGATGTCGACCGTTCTGCTTTTAACGCTGATAGATATTCAGCATAAAGTGCCTCAGGCGTTTCATATCTGCGCGCTCTCGCATCTGCTTGTATGCTCGGATTCTGTATCCCTTCGATAACACAAGATACTGCTTCTTTTCCATCAATTTCACAGACACTCATCAACAGTTCCATTTTCTCAGAGTAATACTGCTCCCATGATTCGTTCGAGAATTTGTGTCGGTGCGAAGTCTTGGTGCTAAGGAAATGACTTCACCAGTACATCCTTCTATTCCTCCCAATTAAACCGGTATGATGGAAGATTTGCAAACCATTTCATGGCCATTCCTTTCAAGCGATTTTGCATATAATAATTCATTGTTTCTTCATCCCAATGATTTATTGCACCTAATTGTTCAATTTTCTCAATCCATTTGAGTGCACTCATATTAGGGTTTCCAGGGGAAAATTCGGGAATACTTTCAGGTCTAGTGTAAATCCTTGATTTATTCTCCACTTGGTGTTTTATGAGATTTTCCACTTAGTTCTCAAGCCTGCTTATTTTGTCATTTTTATTGGTTCCCGGGGGAGTGAAACTTCTTTGTTGGGTTTTATCTTTGGATGTACTAGCAGTAGAACTCTTTTTAATTCCCTATTTTCTTTTATAGTTACCGTTGTCAGAACTATAGAGCTACTGGTACTATCCAGGAATACACATTTGAAGTTGATTGAATATTGCGCAGGTCAAAGAATGCAGCACGCAGACGCACTGAGCCGAAATTTAGTAAGAGGTATTCTCTAAAACTCGCCGATATTATCAAATAATCTTGTGAACACGAATCATGAAGATTGGTTTTGAATGTCCAGCTAGCTGATGAAAGGTGCAAGTATCTAATCGAAATACTCAAAAGAGATCCAACTGACATCGAAGAGAAGAGCATACATAATGACTTTTAGTTAACGAGCAACTCTACAAGAATCTTCCTGACGGGAAAAGATGGGTTGTTCCTGAGGCAGGTAGTGAGCATCTGTCGTTCGACAAAACGATTTCAGCTCTGTCCAAAGGCGAAAAGATGGGTTAGTTTGGGTTAATTTGGGTTAGTAACACAAATTCTAAGTAATCAGGGTCAAAGCAGAAAGTTATTGCCAAAGTATAGCGGAGTCTTAGACCATAACCTTTACGTAATAAAGGATTTAGTGGGATCTACGAGATCTCAAAAGAAATATGAAGGTGTGGTCTCTCTCGACAAGTTGAAACCTTATAACGTAAACGTAAGCTCATCAGAATCAGAATCCGACGAGGAAATCTGAATAAGGTTAGATCCGACGTGGAGGCTGAACCATACATTACATAGTAGAGTTCAACGTGGGCTCTGAAAAGATTCAGATCTGAACTCAGATCCCAACGTGGGTCTAAGACGATAAAATATTGGAATCCAAAGTGGAATCCGATGTTGGAGAGTGAATGGGTACCCAAGGTTCTATTAGTAAGATGGTGGAGGTTTGGAAATAACTATAAGTACTGTCAAGTTTAAATCTCTACCTATTTGTTCTATTATTATCTAGCCTATAGTAAGCAATTAGGGATACTAACACACAAATCAGTTGTTAGGCATGTATATACACATTTGTAAGAAAGTATAAAGTATTGTTTTTCCACAGGTACGAAAAGGCTTCCACGAGGACGTAGATAGATGTAGCATGGCCGACTGTGAAGATATCCATCTAAACCACCATAATGATGGGTGCACTACCTGGAAGTCTGATGCAATGGCCCAAAAAGGTCCTTAAAAACAAGCCGAGGTAGTCTTGGCTAGAGAGTCAACCGAGCGAGTCGTGTTCCTGTGCCAAAGCCTTCTATTAGATTTCTTCTGTGGATTATTAATAAAAAAATTGTATTTTTCTTCAAACGTCAGAAAACCTGACATTTATCTACTAATTTCATGATGTTAAAGTTTAACTTTTATGTCAGTTGACAGTCACCATAGGCAACGGAAGTAATAGTTATTTATTGTATAAGTGTTTTAGGAAGCATTTTATCCACGCAAGAATGTTTAAACGCGAGAACGAAGTTCGAGCGTTTTATTTTCTTAAGTGGATAAAATGCAGCTAAAACACGAATGTAATACAACGTTTTATCCACAATCACACGTACCATCGTCACCAAAAGTATCTGGGACAAAAATAATGCACAACACTGGACTAATTCTACTGTCATTCATTTCAATGCATTTGATTCATAGTTTGACAAATATTTGACAATAAAATTCATATAATAGTACAAGAGCAAATATGATGCTATCCCAGTTACTTTTGGTGACGATGGTACATACACATGGCGGATGGAAGAGCTCCTCTGTTGCTGAAAGTTATGTCGCGGATTCCATTTCCAATTAGCTTGGTATTGCAAACAAAATTTGAGGGGAAAATGTCCCTTACAAGAGGAGACACCTTATATTCCTGTTCCTGGTAATTCTGCCAAAACACCCATAAACGTGCGTTCCCAAGCTGATGGAAATTATCACCTTATCACCAACAATAACGAAGTTATAGGAGACAAATCAAACAACGGAGTATCTATTGATATAAATGTTAATGTTAATATCGATAAATAAAATAAAAATTCCGTACCTATTTCTTGATTTCATTATTCCACTAGTGGAATAAAGTTATTTTATTCCACTAGTGGATAAAGTATCACTTTAGACGCTTCATATGAGTGGATAAAATTGCCATTTTTTGATGATTGTGGATAAAAGACTTTTATTCTATCGCGAATGGTAAACTATCATTTAATCGACTCAAAACTCGTTGTTAAAGTAACACTTTATTTGAAGTAGTGAAATTGAACAATTTTTACCCTCATTTGTCAATTTTACCCACTCATACGTCAATTTTACCCACTTGTTCAAATCTTTTATAATAATTATAGTGTTTTTGACAGAAATCTGGTTATGTTTCATGATTGACAACACCAGAAATGTGTCAGTTTGTTAGGTACTTTATCAACTTGTCATAATCTATGTAAAATTTTAGCATATTTCAGTTTATGATTTTAGTAATTGTGATAAATAATAAGTTGCTCAAGAATAAAATAGAATATTACACACGATGGTAAAAAAGCTTTAGCTGTTTGTGGAATTAATCCACTCGCTCCTTCGTCGCTCGTGAATCAACATTTTCCACTCACAGGTAAAGCATCTTTTTACCGTCTTGTATAATAAATAACTATTATACCTCCACTCGTGAGCGTGTATATGTAATGTTGACATTACAGTCTTTTTAAAAATTTGGAAATGTCACTTTACTGTCTTTTCATTTCCCTGCTCCACTTCCCGTCCTCACTTCCCGTCCTCGTTTCATTATATTAATGTGGCAGGTATTGTCAATTTTTTTTCAAAATTGATGACAATGACATAAAATTCAAGCTAATAGCATGAAGCTACGTTCACATTCAATTTCATTTCTAATTTAAATTAGCAAAAATTATGGTTAAAAATAAAATAGTATACTATGCTCGACAGGAAATTTAATTACTGTCTCGAGATATAGTTTATCTCGACGCTACGCGTCTCGATAAACTATAAAATCTCTCGACAGTAATAACTAATTTCCCGTCTCGGATTGTAATATACTATTACCTCCGCTTGTGAATATTTGCCATAACAACGCAAAGATTGACATTTTGTCACCTAGTTAGTGGATTGTTCGGTAACATCATTAAAATTTGAGAAAATTTCGACTTTTTCTATTATTCAGACAGGTTTGAAGAAAAAATATCGTGTTCTATTCGGAGTAAAAGGTACTTTAGTGACTCGATCACTTTTACTCCTAATAAAACAATATACTATTTTCGAACCCGATCGTTTAATTTTCACTACCTGAAGTTGTCGAAAGTTAACACATAGGTGAAGTGGAGGCATTTTAAGCAGCGTCTCTAGGGCTGTGGTGAGGCAAGTCGACATTGCTCCCGTTATTCCTAGGCATATCAGCCTTTGTACCTTGTTTTGCTTTATCTGAGCGGTGACTTGCTGAGTTTTGGGCCACCATACCAATAAGGCGTATGTGACCATGGGCTTTAATATAGTTTGGTAAATCCAGAATACCATTTTTGGCTTTTGCCCCAGGTCATACAAACCAGTTTGCGGCATGACCAAGTGAGTGTTTGGTCCAGGATGACCACGGTATTTCACTTCGTTGGAAAATGTTAGTTGTGTACCGTTAAAGGTGGGGGCTTTCAAATTTAACTTCCTCATTCTTCTTGTGAATGGGACAAGAATTGTTTTGCTTGGGTTTAAGGATAATCCCTTGCCTTCGCTCCAATTTTTAACGATGTTTAGAGCACTTGGCATTCGGTTTGTTATTACGCCTTCAAGTTTGCTTTTGATTATAATGGCCAGGTCATCTGCATAGCCTATGACATGGTATCCAGCAGTACTCAGTCTGGTAAGGATTTTGTCCACCACTAGTATCCGTAGTAGTGGAGAAAGAATTCCCCCTTGAGGACACCCTCTGACCGTGGTAGCGGTAACTGATGCTGAGGTGTTGTCGAAGGCACCCCCTATGTCAATGAATGCTGTGAGAGCGATTTATTTGCACTCGATCTGTACTATAAGTTCTCGGTTATTTCATTTCATGAGCTTCTTTTTGATCGAGACTCGAGACTAATAAATTTCATAGGAAAAAATAAAGTCAACATTAGTGCTATAATACCTTTATTTGATTACACATAAATTCAACAAAAAAATAACAAAGTTGCCTAATTAATGGATCCAAACGAAAAAAAATCAACAAGGCTTTTCATCAAGCATTTATTTATAAACCTTTGGTGGTCCGATCACATAAAAATGAGCAAGAAAAAATCCTAGAAGCTAAAATTGCACCCAAATATTAAATAAACATAGAGGTTTTGTGCCCTGGACTAGATCGTTACGAACCAAGGTGTGTTTTGACTAGATTGGTCATTGTTAGACACAATGTTTATCACAGGTTAATGTAAACCAGAGTCACATAGGAATGTTGCGCGAACGAGATCCTTTTAGAGTCAAAAATCAAGAGACAATAAGCATCCAATAATATACCAATCTAGTATTTTACCACAACTTGTTATGATAAAATTTCAAGTCGTAATATCCCTGGTCAGTCTTCATACCAGGTGTGTTCCTTCCGGGAGTAACATACCCAGCAGCTTCAATACCAGGACTTTTAGAGCCCGTAGATAGTGGGGTGTTCCCTTTGGGTGCAATTTCAACGTCACGAATTTCTTCTTCTATCGCATCTATAGCATCCCCGTCGAAACTGTCAACATCATGGTCCAAATGTTCTTCGGGTTCCAGTTTCAGTTTAAACAATTCCTCGTCGTCGTTTACTTCAATGTTGAGCGAATTGGGCCGATCCGCTTTACTCGGGGTTCTGCCGTTGGTTGTCAATTGTGCTGGATTATGACTGGAATAGGCTTTATTTACTGTATATACTGGCTAAGATTTTTTTTTAAAATTTGGTTGGTGTGTGGTGGTGGTGAGGATTTATTGTGACACGATTTGTGCCCTGCGGAAAGAAAAAAAAAAACAAAAAATAAATAACATGAAAATAAAAACGCATAAAATTACAGTAAAAGAAGCTGCATGGATTCATGAAAGTTGGAGTTGAATTCTAATGGAAAATTTTTGACTTGTCAGTGAAATAGTAGTCGGATCATGGCAAACTTGTACTCAATTCCGTTGTGGATACGCTGTGAGACCCCAAATTCAGAAACTTGGCAAGATGTTGAATTGGCGAGCGGTGACTTTAGTTTCTGAGTGGAGACACAGTTTAAAATGGGTCCTATTTGCAGGTGGAGAGTAAAACAGAAATATTGTGGTCAATTAAAATAAAATTTATTTTATTAAAATAAATAATGCTTGTTATTAAATAACAGGCGTCGGTAATAAATAATCTTACAATAAAATTTTTAGATTTCTAATAAGCATCAATTAACTGTTAAGGAAAATTTATATGATTCCAAGTAAAAAAATTTATTTACAGTTTGACTCGACTCACACTCTTGCCTTCACAATTTCTGGCTGAACATAAACTCTACTTACATTCAACAATAATATATTTACTGCTGGCCACACCTAATTACATGGAAATCTTATTGCTGGAAGGAATTTACTTTAATTATGAACACTTAATAAAAAACTCGAATATTTTCGCGCTGTTATTTCACATCGTGATCGTGCTTCTTCTCTCTGTTAATTCGACAACTCTTTCACGCCGTAGTTCTGAATTTCTGGACACAGGTCTCTCGATTCTCGATTACTACTTGTTGCTTAAATACTCAACCGACACTGGTCCTTCACGCCGTAGTTCTGCCGGTTTACTCGCTCTTTCTCAAACAATGATTTTCTCCTGCCAAAGTTGCCTTTTTATATCATTGGTCCCTCCAATGTCTTGAATTTCTTTATTTTTTCTGACCTCGATTTTTCGTGATTGAATCATCCGATCAATTAGTGTATTTGGTTCCCTTTTAATTAATTATCAAGGCTAAGTGGTTTGTTAAATGGGTATCATCATATAGGCTCGTGCATGATTTATTGGTCCTTTTAGAAATTTTTTGGCTCCTTTGGAATTTTAATTGTTGAAAGCAGTTAAAAAAAGGTCTATGAACTTCTGCTTTATTCACATTCCAATGTATTAGTCAATATAGGGTATCGGCTTTCAATAATTTCTGGATATCGAAGTTCAGATAATTTTTAATTGAAGTTTCTGGTTGTGCTATCTAAGTGATGGTCTCTCCTGGGATGGTTGTTTGGTAAGTCCTTGTTATTCTTGATTAATTTTCGGTAGTTGGATCCTAGGTCTTTAGTTGTTTAAAATAATCAGAACCTTGTTTACTTGGTGGTTTATTTCCGCGTCACTACAACGCCAATCCACTTAAAACTGAGTTGATCAGCTAAATCTGGTTGATATGGTGGTACCTGGTTTCGTTGTGAATTTCACATCGCACTGATGAAGAGGTGCAAAAAAATCATAAAAAGTCTGCAGTTAGATGTGCAGCGAAATTCGAAATGTATGACCGCAGCTAGAACCTAGAACTGTCTTGGTACAAATGGTACAATATTGGTCCTGATATTTTAACTGATAAAGTGTTCAGATTCGGATTGCACCATACTCTAATTATCAAATACATTGTAGCTCTGTTATTATTGAAACAAAATTTGGGAAATCTCATTCATCAAGCCTCAAATTATTGTTTTTGGTAACCCCACAGGAAAAAAAAACCAGTGGACATTAAGTCCGGAGATCAAGGTGGCAGATAATTTTTTTTCTTTCTCCATTATCCACTGATTTACGAAGTGATCATCCGCTAGCAAGTCATAGTGAGAAGATCTTTAAAAAAAAATTATTTTCAATTTCACATCTTTACTTCATGGATCAAAGATTCAACAGTCCTAGGCAGAAGCTAGACGGTTTCCACCAATTGAATTTCCCTGTATACCAACTAACAATTACTTGTGCGGTCTCTCCAACTTTCACAAAGCTATCTAGCTTCTAAAATAAAGTTAAAATCCTTCCACCAAACCCTTTTCCACCACTACACCAAACCTCAAATAATCAGGCATTTGGAATCAACTATTTCTACATAATACTTACATGATGCCTATCAGTAGATGTAAAATTGAAAATTTCGTGACTAGAATTTGGATAAGGCTATCTTAAGGACTAATCTCTAACGATAATTGGCGGCCTGGCACTGGAAGCGACTGGGGTTTGACTAAAAAGTTTTAAAATATTTGATAAACTTGCTCAAAGACAATAATATTCCCTTACAGCTGCTGAGGAGGGTATCCTTTTGAAATATCAACTTCATTCTGGTAGTAAGGAACCCTTAAAGAATGGCAAAAGTCTGGAAATTGCATGTAAGTATACAGAGAAAGTTACCTAACGTCTTCACGGACAGGCTGAGGTGCGGCATTAGACTGACTTGGTTGTTGACTTTTCTGATTATTGATACTATTATCAAATTGATTGAACATTTGGGGATAAGTACCAACTTGGTTATTTATTGGTTGTTGTTGTGCTTGGACAGTATTTGGCATTACTTGTTGACCGTTTTGATTTTGATCAACCATAGAAGGGGTCATGTTGTTTTGATTATCTGCTTGAGTAGTGACTTGATTCATTTGACTTGGGTTTTGGTTTAAAGCAGGATTTATTTGATTCGGATTGATGACAGCAGAGTTTTGGTCTCTTGAAATCGGTTGGTTTTGGTTAGGCATTATAGGAACCATCTGTGAACCTCCTACTAGATTCGCTTGGTTTTGGTTAGTCATGGGATTCATTCGTGGATTTGATTGGTTTGGGTTAATCATTATGGGGACCATTTGTGAACCTCCTACCAGATTCGCTTGGTTTTGGGTAATCATGGGATTCATATGTGAAACACCTGGATTCGATTGGTTTTGATTCGTCATTGTGGGAACCATTTGTGAACTTCCAACTAGATTTGCTTGGTTTTGGTTAGTCATGGGATTCATCTGTGGATTTGATTGGTTTGGGTTAATCATTGTGGTGACCATTTGTGTACCTCCTACTAGATTCGCTTGGTTGTGATTAGCCATTGAATTAATTTGTGAAACACCTGGATTCGACTGGTTTTGATTAGTGGAAACCATTTGTGAACCTCCTACTAGATTGGTTTGGTGTTGGTTAGTCATGGGATTCATTTGCGGAAATTGTGAATTTGATGGGTTTTGGTTAATCATTGTGGGAACCATTTGGGAACCCCCTACTAGATTCGCTTGGTTTTGGTTAGTCATGGGATTCACTTGTGAATTTGATTGATTTTGGTTAGTCATTTGGTTCATTTGTGGATTTAATTGGTTTTGATTAACCATTTGTGAACCTCCTACTAGATTCGCCTGATTTGGGTTAGTCATAGGATTCATTTGTGGATTTGATTGGTTTTGGTTAATCATTTGTGAAACTCCTAGATTCGCTTGATGGTTCTGGTTACTCATAGGGTTCATTTGATTAGTACCATCATTGTAGCTTTGCTGGGTTACTCCAGGAGTCGGCTGATTCTGATTCTGCATCATTTGATTGTTGGATTCACTCTGGATTTGCTGTTGTACTACATTGTTGACAAATGCCTGTTGATAATTATTCGGAGCAGAAATTGAGTTTTGCAGCACAAAAGGAGCAGGAATTTGTCTTCTATCTCCTTGCGCTGGCATCGATTGTGCCGCGTGGGGCATTTTTCTTGGGGTACCATCGAAGCTCTGAGGTATCAACGGTTCTCTGGTTCTTTGCAGTTGCTGCGCAACTTGGGGAGTGGAAATTTGTTCGTTTTGAGGGAAGTAATTATAAGTTTGATTGGTGGCATCACCTTGAGCCATGTAATAGTAATTGGGATTTTGCGGGATCGCGTTCTGTTGATTGTATGGGTATTGATTTTGGACAAAGGGCATATTGGGAACACTTTGAGTTGTTTGCCAGGCCAACTGATTACTAAACAAGGAAATTCTTTGAGCCCACAGTACTTTTTCTATCTAAATACTCACCCATAAACATTGTTATACTGATCTATTCCACCTTGTGTAACAACTACTGGCTCAGACTTAACTCTAACAAAAACATGCAAATTACAACAATAACTGGGTGCTACTGAGATGTCGCTATGACCTGGACTTACCCTGTGGGTTCCTGGTTGCGATTTATTACAGGTGAATCGTTATGGATGATCTGCAAAAGCGGTTTGTTACGGATTAAGTGGATTAGAACTAGAAATATTATTAGTACCTGGCCCATACTACAAGCCGGATGTGCGGCTGCGTAACGACCATAAGGTGATGAGTTGAAAGATTGTTGTAAGCCGTTGGCCGATTGCCTTTTTGTAGGAGTGTTACTGTTAACGAATAAAAAGGTTTGTATGATTTAATGATGGGTTAATCTTTTAGCTACCTTTTGTCTGTTGGTATTTTATTGGGCGTTCCTGCATGTTTTGGGAAGAAGCCGTCAAACACCACATAATTATTCATCTGTTTGACCGGAGTATTAAGGCCGTAGTGTTTGTTAAGGAATCCAAGAAACTTGTCGCTCGGTCTGTCGATTGCCATTTTGTTTGGTTCCAATTGTTCTCTCTGCAATTTCGACAAACTTTTAATTACAAAGTGCATATGTAGAGAACAATTATTACAAATTACAAATAAAATGTGAAAGTTCTTAAATCATTCTCATTGTTCTTACCTCTAACATGTGCTCGAAAAGTCTCCTACCGAATCCGGTCCGTTGTCGTGATTCGTGTATGTAAAAGTCCAAAACGCAGGGGGGCGATACTTGATAATGTTGCCCTTCTCGGTCAAACACGTAAAGCCCTTTTTCGCCGGTCTTGAGCATGCCGGTCACCGCTCCTTTTCCACTATAAAGAAAAAAAACAACAATAGAAATTAAGCTTTCGATTTACTGTTCATCTGATTAGTGAGGCATAAAAGTTTCCAGGCACGCTATACACTTTATAGTGTCCTTTGTTTTATTTGCACATTTGTAGCGTAATGTAAATATTCACAGTTAACAGTTAATTATTAAATTACATGTACGAGACATCAGGATCCATGACCCCAACCATGCAATCTGGTATTTTATTATACCCGCAGCTTAATTTTTCTGTAATCAACACTAAATTAAGGTCAGAGTTTATTTATTTGCAATTTTTTGTGTGTATTTGTAAGAAATTTAGCTCCCAAGTATGAACATTTATTGGATGGAATGTTTTTCCATCAGATTTTGGCTTAGTAAAGTAAAGTAAAGTAAAATAATCATTACTTTCTCCAATGAGAAAAGAAGTTTTTTCAACAATTAACACCTTTATTTTCACAACAAGTCATATAAACTAAATTTAATTGCCTAGGACGTGTGGTTAATATAAAACTGCTTGATATACCTAATTGCAAACATTATTCATAAATTATAATAGTTTCTAATGTTTTATTAATGGATGCGAAATTGATAATACTGGATATCAGTATCGGGGTACCCACTTTGAAGTTTTTAGTGCCATTTTTCTTGTTTATAAAAAACAATAAGGGCTGTCAGTCTTAACATGGTTCCACTTAATTTAATATTGACTGAATAGATGCATTTTTTCTCAATAATCAAATTAAATAAAATTCGATATGTAAGCATATATTATATTGTATAAGAGGTCAAATCGTAGGTTTGGCAAAACATTTCGTATTAGCTATGGTTTATACTACTTAATTTCACAATAGAATAAGGCGTGGGAATCAGATGTAACACTCCACTTAGATAGCTGAAATAGTATTAATAATTTATTAAGATTTTAAAAATTTAAGACAATTATTAAGGCTTTCACGATTGTTTTGTACATAACAATTATAGAATAAGATTTTCTGAAAATCTATGATAGAATTGGAGATATTATGATTTTTCAAAGTTTTTATAAATTTATCTCCAAAGGTTGTTAGAATTTAAAAATGATAAAATAACTTGCTTCTCTTTTCCTAGCTTTTTCCTATTTAGCTTGAGAACAAAACAACTTGTGAACTGAACACACACTTTATAAGGCCCCTCGGATACATTTGAGTACAGAAACTAATAAACTAAACTATCAGCCCCTAAACACCCAACCTTAACATTTGCAGGATCGAAAAATAATGCAATATTTTAACTCCTAGAACGTCAAAAATTCTCATTTTCCATACCAGGTTTCCCAAGAAAATCTGGAAACTTCTTCAGCAGTGATATTTAATTTCTTTCAACTCTTGGATCCTTATTGTAGCAGTCTCAACTCTCCACTGAATTCGAATGAAAAAGACTCTCGTCTTTTGAAATCAAGACTTTGAAGATTGTTAAGACACGCAGACAAATTTAAAGTCTTGAAATATTTTATGCTTGATTAGAGACTTTAAGGGCCGGTATTTCAAAATCACCTCAAAATCAGCAATCAAGACTTACCTAAGGTACCCTTAACGATAAGGTGAACTTGAAATCAGTTTATTTAGGTGGCTTAAGATCCACCTTGAATTAAGGGAGCTTTAATATAGGTACGGTGAAACTTGTATTACGGATAACGACGTTATTCTGTACCTTAAAGTGACATTGAAATACCGACCCTAAATCTTTATGATTTGTTTGAATATTCGAAATATAGAAAACTACAGACTGGATTTCTGATCCGAGGGACCATTATTCAAGATTTTAGAATGGTAACTAAAAGATAAGTTTTAGTTACTCTACTACTATTTAGGGCCAAATTATGGACTGACTGGTAAACGTCTGGTTGTTACCTAGCAGGTAGGTACTTTCTATGCAGTACATGTAAGAATAAAAAGTACCTGCTAGGTAAGAACCAGACACTTACCAGTTGGTCCATAATTTAGCCCTTGAGCATATAGCGTATATCGAGGCGTATATGGTGGTCTGTTTAGGGATAGTACCTCTGGGAGGAGGGGGGCCGACCACTCACTCCCTTTGAGGTTACCGGTGGCGTAAAGCAGGGGTATGTGCTGGCACCAACGCTGTTTGCTTTGTTCTTCTGTATGGTAATGAGAATTGCTATGGAGGCAATGTTTAATGCGCTGCATATCAAATATCGTTATGATAAATGTCTGTTCAATCTTCATAGACTTAAGGCTCTGTCTAAGGTGGAGCTCTTGCGCATAATTGAAATTCTCTATACTGACGATGTTTGTCTTGTTGCCAACTCTTTAGAGACTTTGCGAGAATGCGTTCGTCGGCAGGTTGGCGTTTTTCAATTTTTCAAAAACACTTTGAAGCACTTCTATGTGTTTTTCAAAGCTTTGTGTCACTACATATCATCGAGATATACAAACAAAATATTCTTGCAATTCTGGACCAATCACTATTCACTCTGTCGATGAGACGTTGCCACATTGCAGGTGCATTCACAAGCCCCATTGGCATTCTACAGAATTCAAATAGCCCTTTACCTGGTATCGTAAATGCTGTGAGCGAGATGATTCTGCTAAATAAACCTGAAAATGTGCCGATTTTATGTTTAAGGAAGATAGGCATCGAGCATCCCGTAGTTTATCCAGTGTCAACAAGCATCATCTTCTACCCATATTAAGTCAGTGCCCGTGTATCAGTGAAACCTTAAATTTGATGGAAAAAATATGTCTTTGTTAGCATTTTTGGATAGGGTGAAAGAGCTTTCAGTTTCAAGACATGTATCCAAAGTACAACTGCGGTTGCTTCAGCAAGTGATTTATTCACAGGCCAAACAAAATTTTGGTATACTGCTAATTGTGATAATATTCATACTTGGGATGATGTCTTTGGTTACGTGTGACGTGCCACAGAGCGCCAAATTGAGAATCCTTATGAATGATATTTCGCCGTTCTATCAAAGTCAGCTGGGACTAACTGAAATTAATTCAATCGAGGAGCTACTGGAATTGGGTCGTTGTTTGGAGGAGCGCAAAGCAGCGATTGAAATTTACCACCTTCTACTCCTCCGCCAAGAAACAAAAAGTTTCTAGAGCCAGATTTGGCCTATATTTACTCTGAGCCATCTACTTCAACAACAAATTATGATGCTGTTTGTGAATTTACATGCTGGAATTGTGGGAAAAGCGGACACAGAGCAAACCTGTGTACCGAGGCTAAAACTAAGCATTGTTTTAAATGTGGATTTAAGAATTATATGATACGCACGTGCCCCACATGTTTCAAACTTCAGAGAAACTATCAAGGGAGGCGCTAGATGGCTGTATAAAGGCAATCCCACAAACAGACGAAATAAAGAAGGCATTGTCTCAAATGAAAACCAACAAGACACCTGAAGTCCGATCCTCGGGCCAGGGAGAAGAGCTTCCCGATAGAACGAATGTTTTGTCCTTGTCAACGTAATCGAAAAGTAAACGAGAATGATAAAGACGAAAATTTTGTTCTCTCGGGAAGTTTCACTCCCTGGCTCGAGGATCGGCCTGCAGGAGAGGATAGATTGACAACGGAAATGTTTGAATATGGCGGAGAACCTCTACTGAAGAGAATAAAGAAAATCTTTAATGGGTGCATTGCTGAACAAAGAATACCACAGTTATGGCAAAACGCAACAATCGCACTCATCCATAAAAAGGGAGATAACACAAAACTTGAAAATTATCGCCCCATCAGTCTTCTACAAGTATTCGCAAAACCGCCTAACAAACAAGTTTGATTTCTATCAACCCCCAGAGCAGGCAAAGTTCAAAAGTGGATACAGTACTGTAGACCACCTTCAGGCGATCCGCAAACTCATAGAGAAAAGCACCGAATACAACATCCCTATATACATAGCCTTCGTAGATTATGAGAAGGCTTTCGAATCTATAGAGCTACGAGCCATTCTAGAAGCCTTAAACAATGCCAGAATAGACCATAGATACTCTGGCATAATATCGTTTATCTACAAAACAGCTACGATGACTGTCAAACTAGATGAAATAACAACGAAGAAAAAAATCAAAATGGAAAGAGGAGTCAGACAGAGAGATACTATTTCGAAAACGTCAAAGAGTATGTATATCTGGGTCATGCCATAAGATAAGTAAATATAACCAAACAACTGAAATTTCGAGAATGATTAAACTTGGATGGGTAGCTCTTGGTAGACTGAACTATATATTCAAGAGCAAAGTTCCCAACAATCTAAAAAGAGACTTTTTCAATAAATGCGTTTTACCGTTAATGACGTACGGCTTGGAGACTATGACGGTGACCGCACGAAGTGCCAATAGACTGCGGATTACTCAGAGAGCAATGGAAAGAGCCATGATGGGCATCAGCCTTCGCGACCACATTAGGAATGAGGACATCCGTCAACAAACGAAGGTGACTGACAACGTCGAGAAAATATCCAGTTCTAAGGTCTTGGGCAGGACACTTGGCCAGACAATCAGAAGAGATATGGGCGAAAAGACTACTATGGTGGAAACGACGTTCTAACAAAACGTTCAGTAGGTTGATCTCCTAAAAGGTGGACCGAACCATAGCTGGTAAAAATTGGATAAAGAGAGCACAAAACCGGAACGATTGGAAAGTATTGAAAGAGACCTACATCTTGCAGTGGATGGATAACGGCTGAAGAAGAACTGCATTTGATGAAATGGGTGACACTGGTGACAGGCTGGGAAATACTACTTCATAGTTGAACAATTGTATTAACAGCAAGTCAATGCCTATAAAGCAACGGTACTATCCCGTTTGACCGATAATGCTTCAAAATATTAATGGCGAATTAGAAAAGCTTCTAAGAGAGTAATGTGAGACCAAGTCATAGTCCATGGTCTTCACCAATTCTATTGGTTAAAAAATCAGATGGCTCATGGCGCTTCGTGGTAGATTGCAGGAAATAGTACCAATCAACTGTAAAAGATGCGTACCTTCTACCATACGTGTCGCGGCAACACTAGACATAAAATCGGCATATTTTCAGGTACCTTTTGTGATCACAATTGGCTTATACAATATTTATGTAAACAGTTGCACACTTCTCAGTACCTATGGGCGTTCAAGCTATAAAACTCTAGGCGCGAAATGTTATGGCATAGAGTTCTCAAAGATTAGCTACAAGTTCTAAGGAAGTAAACAAAGTTTTGCTGGCCTCAATGCTGACTCTAGATTTTAACTTTAAAATTATGAGAACTCAGGAATCTGCAATTATTTTGGATGTTTTCCAATTTTACACAATATTGATAATAAACTATTTAAAGACTATCCGATATTAACGTAATGTTATTCACGAAATATGTTTCCCGCAAGACGTTGATACACTTATCTGGCAATATGGAGAATCCACAGATCCACAGAGGGCTGAACATTGAGTTACTGCTTTTAAAGGTATGACCACGTACACTTTTGGTACAACCTTGCTACCACACTGGGATGTAAAGTGTGGATTTTCAGCTTCAATAGAAGTTTGTTGATTTTTCAAGAACGGATGATTTTCCAATTTTCAATAAAATAGGGTAATTTTTAGCCTTGAGGCGATCACTTTAATCCGACGTAAATCGATGAGTGAGTGAGTACAATAACTCCACAAGAGAACCAAATGCAGGGTGCCAAAATAATGGATGTTGATCCCTTTAAAAGGAACATGCTACCAACTCACTATTCTTTTCAAAGTTCCATTAATAGCTGTGATCAGATCAAAACCAAAATGACCACTCAATCACCTTTTCACAATTCGATAGGAACGAATCGGTACATCGGAGCGGAATCGACACATTAATATACTCGCAGGAATTTCGTAAATAGGTAATACTTATGTCCATTTTATATACAGAATCCTAAAAATAATCGAGACTGTTACAAAATGAAGCGTATAACAAAAGACTCTGCCCAAAGTATACGGAGATATAATAGTATTTATGTCATAACTGGATGAATTTTGTATATAATGTAGATCGCGCCTTCCATTGCACCACATTGCACCAATCCTGAAAAATGATTCCTTTCTGAAAAAAAAAAATTCATAGGTAGCGAGTAAAACGCTTGGACATTGTAATGAACGTACAAATAAATTAGTGGATTATTGCGGAACTTATGGGTGGACCTCTGCGGGACGAGCGCAGCGAGTTCCGCAGCCATCTACTCACCAATATACTGTTGAATTGAACAGTTCAGACACTCACCTGAAACGTGTAGTTTTTGAACTAATGAGAAATATTCACAACTGAGTGAATCATACAACAACATATTGGTGAATAGATGGCTGGGTCCACCCATAAGTTCCGCAACAATCCACTCGTTTGTACTTGAATAACTTGTCACAATATATTACTAGTTCGGTAAAGTAACATTATTAATTCCTGTTAAAAGGCAAATTGACAAGTGGATAATCTTACAAATTCTGACTTTATATAATAAGTTATTGTTCAAGTATTATCCATTCACAATCCGATGTCCACAAGTACAGGTAAAATTTATCACCTTTCAATGCTATTTGATAGGGAAAGGTGATAAACTTGCCTGTACCTGTGGACATCGGATTGTAAATAGGATATACAAATAAGTGGATTGTTGCGGAACTTATAGATGGACCTCTGCGGGACACTTATAGATGGACCTCTGTGGGACGAGCGCAGTGAGTTTCGCAGCCATCTACTCACCAATATATTGTTGAACTATCCAAATAAGACACTCACCTGAAACATTACTAATTTCTAAGTTATTGTTCAAGTACATACAATGTAACACAAATAGGTAAGCTTGTGGCGCAGTGGTGTGCTACGTATGGTAGTTTTTCAGGATTGGTGCAATGGTAACTTTTAATCAGAAAGGCGTGATCTACATTACATACAAAATTCAGCCAATTCTGACATAAACACAATTTCCGTATACTTTGGGCAGGGTCCTTTGGACTTAAAATAAACATCTGTAAAACAGAAGTATTGCAGCGAACTGCGAAGAATGCACATGGAACTTCCGCCTCAAATGAACATACATATTTACGGCACAGAGTTGGATGAAATAAGTCGCTCTAATTTAAGTATCTGGACGGTATCATAACACCAGATGGAAGGGTAGACGCTGATGTAAATACTGGAATTGCGCAGGCATCTTTGATCTTTGGAAAGTTGCACCAGAAACTTCTTAAATATCATGACGTAAGTTTATAAACCAAGATAAAAGTCATGCAACAGTCTTACCGACTCTTTTTTATGGATCAGAATCATAAATTCTATACACATTTGGCACATTTGGAAGCTTGACCAATTTCACTTGAGATGTCTTAGATCAATACTGACTATAAAGTGGAATCTATAGGAAACACCGAAGTTCTGCGAAGAGCAAAAATTGATGGCATTGAGTCTATGATGATGAAACGGCAACTCCAATAGTGTGGTCACATAGTGCGTATCATAGATTTATTGTGCGTATGAACAATGACCGCCTTACAAAGCAGATATTTTTCTCAGAGCTACTCCATGGCGAAAGACAGTGCGGAGGACAAATACTGCGCTATAAAGATACTCTGAAAAGAACTATGAACAAATGCCATATTAATCAAAACAATTGGGAACAAAATGCAGTAAACCAGCCAATGTGGAGACGATCAATCCATGAGAATATTAAAAATTTTGAAGATAGAAGGCGTCAAGAACTGGATGGGTAAACAAAGGGGGGAAATAATGGTTGCTATATATATTTTTGATGAAAATGGACAACTTTGCTGTCCTCGGTGCCACAGAACGTTCGTTAACAAACTGGATACCATAGTCATCAACGATCCCTTTGAATATGAATATGAATCTGTAATGATTGCTGTTGCCGCATCGGCAAGGAATGGATGATGATGATAATGACTACTTAAACATATACTTAGGATATAAAAATTTCAAGCTGTTCCAATTAATTTTAACGAGTGCATGTGTTTAAACAAATAATGGCTTCTATTAAAGCACAGAGATACACTTTCTACATACCTATCTAGTGTAATTGAAACCTAAATTTAAAATCCAAAGTGAAAATTGTGAAAATAAAAAAGCTTTTTGTTGCTTTACAACGTCGGCCACTAGTTTTTCACGCTCTAAATAATTCATAAAGACAAATAATAAACATCTTCAACGCAAGTCTAATAATTTCTTGAATCACACACACTACTTACTTGTTAGCAGCCTGATCAATTAAAAGGTACAATCTGTGTTCGGAATTTCTCAATCTATCAGCAGTGGTGATTGGTTTCGTAAGGCCTTGGGCATGGGCCGAGGCTTCCCCTATTGCATTGACTATTTGGGTGACTTTTGATTGAGTATCCCTGAAAAAAAAAAAAGAGAACCATTTCAATTCAACCTCTAAAAATAAGTTGGATACTTGAATAATAGATGAAATCGATTATTCAGGAAACCGTATCTTAATTATCTGCTGTTTATTTATTTATATTGCCAACTTCTTTCAATAGGCGAACAATTCTTGTCCTTGCCAAAAAATCCATACAGTGTCATGCCAGAATCCAATTTTCCTTACTGCATTGAATTTATTCTTACAAAAATCTTTGAATTTATGTGTACCTACCTACATTATTCATAGCACGCACCAAAATATGTATAACTTGGTTGTTGATATTGTTACAGCAGTAATTTTTTTAAATTAAAAGTAGTATTGTTAATAATAGCTGCATATAGCTTTATTTGCAACGGAAACCCATTAACCCAGTTCCATAGTTAGCACAGCAAAAATTTTGCGTATCTGTTGTTTGCCTTTCTATGGACTATGGCGTGCCTCTGATGAGACTTATCTGATCTCCTACAAACATGCAATATGCACCTTTCCTTTGTCAAAGTCAATCATATTCAATGAATTCCAGATGAATCTTACATTGCTTTATTCAAATAATGTAGAGATCTTGAACTTTTACAAACTACGCACTTATATGCAACATAATAGGTATCGTGTTCTAAGAAAAAAATAATTATTTTCCAAGTTTCGTGCAAATTAATTCTGAAGTACCTACACGCAAAGTCGAAAAAAAAATCATCGTTGAACTTTTTAAATTTCCATCCAAGTTTTGAGATTGGAACACGCCTTGATGGAAAGTTTTGTGATTAGAAAAAGTTGTATGGTTCGGTAAATGGAAGAGGTAAAAGTAATAGCAAAAATTGGGGCAATCATCATCTATGCAATTTCCTGGATTACATCCTATGCCGCAACGAATTGATCAAATAACGTGGAAAGCACTCAGGTGAAAACAAGGTGAATCATCAAAATTGGGTCAAACCTCACTTTGATATTGAAATTTTGCCATAGTAAGTATTAACATGCATGGAAAATCCTCTTAAACATACCGAGAGAGACTTCCTAAAAAGCAAGTTGTTGTTAACCTTGGCTTTATAAACCTTCAATTGCGTGCAATGTCAGCTAACTTGAAGACATCTGTGCTGCAACTAATGAGTACGATAATTAATTTGTACCTGAAGCAATTTTTATGTAAAATAAATAATCTATAGTTTTAAGAATCCGAGCCCCACAGATAGTAGATATAATCGTATATTTGTAACTAAAAATAAGGCAAAAACCCACCAACTAATTTTCCTTTCAAAACATTATTTTCCATGATAAATTTTCCAATCTAATCGCCCGAACAAGAGTCAAGGTAACTGGGCTTCTAGGTTAATTACATACAATGAGAAGGGAATGGTTTTTGGAGGGTGGTTTTAGTGTTCAGCCCCGAAAAACGTGAAATAATTATTCCTTAACACTTAATCTACATAGCTATTAAATTTAATGGACTTCCTCATATTGTAACGAAATTGCATTGGTACGAAGTAGTTTGCCAGATTGTGATTCTAGAGATTATTCGAATTGTATATTTTTGTATACAAAGCGCGTAGTATGTAGGCCAGTAGGTAAGTGAATTTAAAAAGAAGAATTCGCAACAAAAAACGAGTTCACAAACTCGTTTCTGTAGAGTTCCCGAACATTCTATACATTTTCCATTTGGAAACCAAAAGATATAGGTATAGAGTGTTTGTTTATAACTGGAACACTCAGTACTTACCTTTTTTTTTATTGAAAATAAAGGGCATATTCAAAATGGATTATTTCTTGGTAAACTCTGCAACAATCTTAATCGCTACAACGATATTTTTTTGTCGCCATAGGTATACAGGGTGCGCCAAAAAAGTCATTTTTTTAAATGGAACGCCCGTATATTTTTGCATTTTTCAAATTCTTAGAAAATTACCTTCACAAAAATATCAAACACTATTTGGATAACAAAAATATACAGGGCATTTCATTTAAAAAAAATACCTTTTTGGCGCACCCTGTATACCTATGAACAGAAAAAAATATCGTTGTAGTACTTAGGGTTGCAATTTACCAAGAAATTTTCCAACCCAAATATGACCTTTATTTTCGAAAATAAAAAAGTTACTGAGTGTTCCACTTATAAACAAACACCCAGTACAAGACTACTGACTTTATCATTGGTTGTATTATGGAAAAACAACAAGGTCAAAGACGACTTTGACAGTAGCATGTTCAACAAATTTCTGAAATAATTGACACCTGTCAAATATTATTATTTTGACAGAAACAATTTGATATTTATGAAGCTTGATTCTTTTTGATATCTTCATATAGAAATAAAATCGTCGCTTTTAAGATAAGCAATTTTTGACAGCTGATAGTTGAATTTGGTAGTCGAATGAGTGATGAGTTTGTGAAAAAATTGGCAGCTATCAAAATAAAAAAAATTTGACAGTTAAAGGTGATTTAAGGTCTTATAGAGTCCTAAAATTTGAGTAATTTTCCTAAAGTCCTTCTTAAATTACAATTTTTGACAGCTGTCAAAGTTGAATTTGATAGAAAGACATCCAACAAATTGAAGATACTTGTCAAAACATATTATTTTGACAGTTAGAGACGATGGAATTTCTGTGAAGCTTGAGAATTTGTGCCATTCTTAAAAAACAACATTTAAGGCGATTTTCATTCTGATGGAATGATTATTCATCGGTGAATACCGTGGTTATTCTTTTGGTTGACAACTTTAACAGTCCAGTGTGACGTCATAGCCCCCCACCACTCAAGAATCATAACCCAAGGTACTGATCGGTAAAATGATTTGGTTATAGCAGTGTAGAGGGTTATGTTTATTATTCTTATTTGTTTTTTTTTTTCAACGATGGTTTCTTGTTTAGGTACAAAAAATGGAACCGAATCTCTCGTTAATCGAAAAGATTTTCTTTGGGGATGATCTAAATTCTAAAGATGGTGAGTTGCAGTGAGTGTATAGGTACTTCTTCCATTGTGACATTCCAAAACACAACTGCAAAATCAGAAAAGACCAATACCAATCCCCAAAATAATAACAATGACATCAAAAAGCTGTATAGTCCGTTGCATGGTTCTTGAGCTACGACTACTGAATAGACAGAGGGAACAATGGGCTGCGTTGTCATATCAATAATATTTATTATTACATGAAAATGAAGGAAATTTTATTGCAATTTTCATGTATTAATAAATATTATCGATATGATAATGCAGCAATAGCCCATTGTCCCCTCTGTCTATTCAGTAGCCGTAGCTCAAGAACCATGCAATGGACTAAGTATAACCAAAAGTGGTAAATACTAAAAGCAAATCAGCTAATCTGTGACGTCACAACCTCCCCTACTTTGGTAAAAACCGCGACAGCGGAAATGCGCATTGGTTAAAACCAAATGATAATCATTCCAGGCTGAAAATCGCCTTTATGGTTCTTTAATTAAACAATTTGAGACAGCTGTCAAAACAGAATTTAATTGTTGAATGTCTAATCAGCTTGTAAAAAAATTGACACCTGTCAAATGTCATTATTTTGACAATAAAAGCTATACCTACATCTATTATTGAGCATTATATTTGGGTGTTTTTCATAGAAAAAGAATTGTCACTCTTGAATTTTGCAGTTTCTGACAGCTGTAAAAGTTGAATTTGATAGTCAAGCGACCAATGAGCTGGAAAAAAACTTGACATTTGACCAAAGATAATTTTTTTGACAATTAGAAATGCTTTGATGTCTATTGAGTTTCTTTGTGTTATTTAGATAGAAATAAGAATGTCGCTCTTGAATCGAGCAATTTTTGACAGGTGTTAAAGATGGATTTGATAGTCAAACGTCCAATGAGCTTGAGAAATAAATGACATTTGGCCAAAGATAATTTTTTTGGCAATTAGAGATGATTTGATGTCTATTAAGTTTCTTTCTGCCATTTGGATAGAAATGAAAACGTCGGTCTTGAATCGAGCAAATTTTGACAGGTGTCAAATTTGAATTTGATAGACAAACGTCCAAAGAACTTGAGAAATAATTTACATTTGGCCAAAAATAATTGAGTTGATGTTTATTGAGCTTCTTTGTGTCATTTAGATAGAAATGAAAATGTCGCTCTTGAATCGAGCAATTTTTGACAGGTGTCAAAGTTAAATTTGATAGTCAAACGTCCAATGAGCTTGAGAAAAAATTGACATTTCGCCAAAGATAATTTTTTGATAATTAGAGATGATTTGATCTTGATGTCTATTGAGCTTCTTTGTGTCATTTAGATAGAAGTAAAAACGTCGCACTTGAATCGCGCAATTTTTGACAGGTGTCGAAGTTGAATTTGATAGTCAAATGTCCAATGAGCTTGAGAAAAAATTGACATTTGCCCAGAGACAATTTTTTTGACAATTAGAGATGATTTGATGTCTATTGAGCTTCTTTATGTCATTTAGATGGAAATAAAAAAGTCGCTCTTGATTTGAGCAATTTTTGACAGATGTCAAAGTTGAATTGGATAGTCAAACATGCAATGAGCTTGAGAAAAAATTGACATTTGGACAAAAATAATTTTTTCGACAAGAGATTAGATTTGATGTCTATTGAGCTTCTTTCTGTCATTCAGATAGAAATAAATACGTCGCTCTTGAATCGAGTAATTTTTGACAGACGAAAAAGTTGAATTTGATAGTCAAACGTCCAATGAGCTTGAGTCGGAAGTTATTTTTTTGACAATTAGAAATGATTTAATGTCTATTGAGCTTCTTTCTGTCATTTAGATAGAAATAAAAACGTCGCTCTTAAATCGATCAATTTTTGACAGATGTCAAAGTTAAATTTGATAGTTAAACGTCCAATGAGCTTGAGAAAAAATTGTTGCAAGCCGGTGCTGTTTTCTTTGCCTGCGCGCTTCCTCCTCTTGCAATTTTCATTTTGAATTGTAAAAGCTGTTCTTCTGTATATTCTGGATTAGTCTTCTTGTCTTCCATATTTTCCTTGAAGCCTATCAATATATCTGTTCCATTTTGGCTGTTTGGTCGTGTGTTTGCCATAGGAATCAGCTCTATATCTTTATTGAAACTTGATTTGATCGACAAGATCTTCAAGCGATGAAAACCGACGACTTTAAGGGCCCCACACACTACGTTCTGTTTCGTCGGTTTTCATCGTCGCGATTAACAACGTCGTGTTTCATCGTCAGCCTGTTTTCACCACACACTACGCGATTTTTTGGCAGTTGGACCCACATACATACACGAGAAAGAACGTAGTGTGTGGGGGCCTTTCTAAAGGGCCCCATATACTACGATGAAACACTACGGTTTGCATCACCGCGATGAAACACGTCGTTCAAAAACCGAAGTGTGTGGTAAAAAAACACGACGGTTTTCTACCACACACTTCGGTTTTGGAACGACGTGTTTCATCGTAGTGTATGGGGCCCTTTAAAAAGGCTTCCACACACTACGTTCTTTCTCGTCGGTTTTCATCGCCGCGATTAAATTCGGCGATCTAAAACCGAAGTGTCTCGTCGGTTTTCATCGCTTCAAGATCTCGTCGATCCAATCAAGTTTCAATAAAGATATAGAGCTTATTCCTATATATGGCAAATACACGACCAAACAGGCAAAATGGTGCAGATGATCAAATATGTTGATAGGCCTCAAGGAAAATATGGAAGACAAGAAGACTAATCCAGAATATAAAGAAGAACAGCACTTTTACAACTCAAAATGAAAATTGCAAGAGGAGGAAGCGCGCAGGTAAAGAAAACAGCACCGGCTTGCAGCTCTATACAATAGGAAAAACGGAAACAGAAAGAAAGACATGAAGACGCAAACCAAAGACAGACAGAAAGAAAGCCAAGCAACACAAGTCCAAAGACATGATGAACAAGACTGGCTTCAGGAAAATTTTGAATGTCATCGAGAAAGGATTCAAACCGAGAAAATCCTTTGAGAAAGTTGGAATTATTCATCAGGAACCAAGTCGAAAATATCCATTAGGGAATCCGGAACATTTCGTCAGGAAGTTGGAATTTTTCGCCGAAGAATGGATAATGTTCAGAAGAAAATTGAAAAGTTGGAATTTGTATAGGTACCTATACATACCTTCACTTCTACAAAATCATTAGTAGATATACTCTTCTTCCTAGAAATGTATTAAGCGCTGTAGATAATTTTTTGGAAATACATTACTGAGAATACCTGCTATGAAATACATGTGTGGGTTTACTTATTTTCAAATTAGGATTCTGCTGATAAAGTTGTTGATCAGTATTTTTTGCAGAGTAAATATCATTGCCTTATCAGCAATGATAACTAAATAGGTAGATATTTATTGCTGTAAGAAAATTATCTCAAGGTAAATTATTGATGTCAAATAAACCAAAATGAGACAAATTTTTATTTTATTGTAGAACCAGTTTAACCGTATTGCGGATGAAATAAGCTTCAAAAAAGTATCTACACGATCTACAAGGTTGCTGAACAAATAAATAATACTTTCATCTCATAACTGATAATTTATTATCCAAAAATCATTAGTCTGGAAAGTCTGGGATATCTCATTCCACACTCTCTTTCTTCCAGACACATAAAAAACTAAAGTGTGACTCACCATAGCGCCCTTTTATCCCCGGCGAAGCCGGGAGGAATCAGGGTGTTGCCGATCTCGACGCAAGGCTCCTGGAACAATTCGTTCAAATTGAATCTGAACTCCATTTCCGGTTAGTTTTCCACCAACAAGTTGGGAGATTATATTCGGAAATCTTTTCCCCACAGCTTCCGCTATAATATAAGCACCAGAGAAAAATCGATGGCAAAAAAAAAACTACTCTGACAGAGAATCTTTGACAGTAACTGGTAAATAATTATTGTTCGACAGGTAAAATTGATTGGTAAAAGGTTGGTATTCTTATACGAGCCGCTCACTGAGATCAAAACGTTTCGAGATTGTGCGGTCAGGTGCACAGTTAACTAGCGTTTGTGTTTTGCTTTTGCTTCGAAAGGAAGTTGGCGGTCGAGGTTGGTCGGCGGCGTATTTGTTCATTGGCGGCGAAACTGTGTATTTACTGATGGGATTTTTCCTAGTGTCTCAATTACAATACATTTCAGCAAGACTAGAAAGCTTCAAATCCTAAATAAAAGACTTGAGACTAAGTATGCTCTCTCTCTCGCTATCCAGATTTTCATGTCCATATACGGACAATAAATGTCTTCTCCATGTATTTTCACTCATGTTGCTTTTGGATGTCATTTGATCATCCATGCTTTTGCCACTACGTTTCTGATGTCATAATACCTACCATCGCATTATTGGATATCGTGGACTTATCTTTGTTTCCAAAGCCTGCATTCTGATGTCTTACAAGAGTCCATTTTGAATCTTACCTCCTTGCGGGGCCATCTCCCAACTCTTCTAAGTGAACATTTATTAAAAATAGGTTTGAACGGTTCCTTATTATTGAACATAAAGTACCATTACTCGAAGTGACATACCTAATTTCTTTCCTGCATTGTAGTTTTCAACCAATAATGGTTAGTCGGTAGAATATACCACTACAATTGACCTTTGTGAATTACTAGAAGGCATTTGACTCCGTGGCAACCTGGTCTATTCTGTAAGTTTTTCAATGGTTTCTTGCTGAGCATCTTTAATATCTTTTCTAGCTGGTCTACACTTTTGTGTCAGGAGATCTAGGGAAAGTATCACATTTAGCTAGTCCTATCAGTTTCTCAGATCTCAGCAGTGACATCTTTAGGAGTTTCTTTGGTATCGTTTTTGTAGCAGCTCCTTCTTCTTTAATCTAGCAACTCTTCCTTTGTTTCTTTTCCTTCAAGTTCAATCTTGCTGTAGCTTTTTGTTCTGTATAAACTATTACCTATAGGTACTTTCCAGTTGGTTCTTTGCAAAGTTCATCATGCTAATATATTTTAAGATACAATAACTAACCAAGATACAATAAGTAAACTGGTGACATGTTTTTTTTGTGCAAATGTCCATTTCTATGGAAAATTTATTTCATGTTTTCGCAATAAACGAATGGCATCACAATGATAAAGATTCATTGATTTATAAATGACTCATATAGATAGGTATAAGTACTAGGACTTATCTATACCTATATGGATAATGGTTTCGTCTGAACAAAACTTGAACCAAGTTTACTTGATAAGTTCAGTTATTCTGTAGTGAAAAATGGCTTAAGGGTGATTCAATCAATATATATTGTAAGGTATCTTTGATTGGACCAAACTATTGATCATACATCAAATATTATACACTTCATACCCAATGATTTTATACATTTTCTCAGCATCATAGCAAGTAAGTAACTTCAGTTTGGAAATCCCTAAAAACTCAAGTTCCTAGTCCTCTCCGCCACTGTTAAAATCATATCGATCGTTCCCATTGGCCGGGCTCAGCATGATTATGCGCATCACACGAAGTTACACATGGTCAGGTATGAGGATTTAAATCGCGCCTTAAAGAAAACGCGCCTAATCCCACGCATATATTTTGCTTGTTTTAGGCACCCAAAATATTCCAAGAAACCACGTGAACGTGAACATTAGATGAGATTTTGATTTTAGACAAAGAATATCTGCCATAAAGTACCTACACAATTCTTCAATGGTTAATTGATTGCCTATTAACTACTTATTACGGTAAAGCACCAAGTAGGTACTAGACAACGGTAGTACTATACGCATAAAATCATTACGAACAATAAAACCGAACAGCTATGAGTTTTTTTTTAATGGTAATTTACGATAAGTATCTTTGTTTCTTTACTGCATTGTCTAGATTTATAATGAGCAAACGGAAAGTGTGTTAATTTGAACCGGTGTCGTAATAAACCCAATTACGGAATGCCTATGAGTAATGTTAAAGAAATTTCCTGACTGGGTAATATAAGCGACATAATTGTGTTTTTATTTCAATTAAGTTTATGGTAAATCAACAGAATTAGATAAGCTTTCGGGTATCAGAACCCGAAGTAAATTTACTCAACAAAAGGTACCTATTTATAGTTATAGAGGTATTTGATAAAAGTTAATACGTAGTATTTAAGTCTATGGCGTCGTAACTATTATTTTCTAATTTTAATTATTACCGCCAATAATGTATTACCTACTTCAATATGCTTGGCTCCATCTAGGATTGTTCATAGTTAGCTACAGGAAAAAGTCAATATTGTTGGACCCGCGTCCCATTTTGAAGCACACAATCGAGCTTTTTTTATCGACCCCCTTGTGCCCTTCCTGACTGATTTTATCGAATTTAATTGAGATATTTTGCCCGTAACGAATAGATGGCGCAGCTCATTTGTTAAATGAAAAGTTTCATGTAGAAGCTTGAAGTAAGTGGAACTTAATTTTGACTAAACACTTCAGCTTCGAAATTAATTGAAAATTACCGAAAATCGAAGCTGTTTTGTGGCTTCAAATCTTATTTTTCAAAGTAGAGAAATTGCTTTTGAATCAGAAGGCTTGGAAGTACAACCAGAATTGAAAAATGTTCTTAGAATGCGGTTGAAGGCATTATTCTTTCTGATAGGTAAGTACTTGTAACGTTTTGGAGATAGGCATCTCTGAGTTAACTGGTTGCTTGTCATCAAAAAAAGGGTAAAGAAATTACTTTTCAATTGAATTTGTTCAACAGCCTTGGGCCAGCCGGAAGCGTCAAATTGAAGCTGTTTTGGAAGAAGCTATAGATTAAGATGAAGTTATAAGGTTTTAGCTTTTATTAAACGCTCATAATATATAGAGACTAATGAGTGGCTTTAAAGAGTTTGAAGAGAAGAGTTCATAGGCGAAACTTTTCGAAATTCTTAAAGAATTTCTATAAGTATCTGTAAGAGCTATTAAAGCTATATCTGCTTCTTTCGAGAATCGTCCACAAAGTTACCGATAGATTCAAATTTTCAAAGCAAGAAATTATTAGAAGCTATGCCTCAACTTTATTAATGGAAGAGATAGATACTGAAACTATGTTAAAAATCAATTCTCTGCTACAACACCTTGATGCAATATTTCTTTCAACTATAAAGAAGCATTTCTGAAGCTACAAATACTTGGGCAAAATTATATTGACTTCATCTAAAGAAAATGGAGCTGTTATGGTTTAGAAACTATAGATTAGGATGAAGCTAAGGTCTCAGCTTTTATTAAACCCCCATAAGTTAAAGACTGAGAGGCCAGCATTGAGTGGCTTTAAAGAGTTTGTAGGAAAGAGTTCAGAGGCGCAATCTTTCGAACTTTTTAAAGAGTCTCTACAAGTATCTTGAAGAGCCATTGAAGCTGCTTCTTTCCAGAATCTTCCACAAAATTAGAGAGAGATTGAAAATCTCAAAGCAAGAAATTATGAGAAGTTATGTCTGGACTTTATTAATGGAAGAGAAAGATACTGAACTTATTTTTAATAGTATATTAAAATACAAGTTGCAGAAGGCCACATATTCCCGCACGAATTCGAAATTTGGCCACGAGCGACGAAGGAGCGAGTGGACGAACGAATGAGTGCGGGAATAGCCTTCTGCAACGTGTGTTTTATACTATTTTCTCGGTTTTGGAGTTTATTTTTCATTTTAAAAAAAAAATTGTGAACGCTGTTAATTGGGGATTTTTATTTTCAAAATATGTCAGTTGGTGACACTTACTTACCAACCAACTGACAGGTGGATTCTATTATTTTCATTGAGGTAGAATAATAAGGAGATGCTGTCACCATTTGTATAGTGCAATAGATAAGGGCATCGGTAGGCGTGGCTAGGAGTCGTAATAATATGGCTACTTAAACAGAGCCGAACTGAATGGATTCTTTATAATTTTTATCTAAAAACGTAAAAAAAATCGAGACTACACCAAGAAAGAAAAAGTTGCTACAGTAACTTCAACATACTGAAACAGGAGATCCTTCTAAGACCCAAATTAGCACTTCTGGGCTTCAAAAATTTTTCGCATTTAAAAAATCTTCGGATGGAAAATGCGGGCCTGATGCAATTCTGACGCGTTGCTATGACAAAAGTGACAGAATCTCAGACAGAAGTGTCGTAACAATATGGCGGAAGTGGATACGCTTTTTTCTCCTCATGTCGTCTCCTTATTATTCTACCTCAATGATCATTTTAGAATGGTTTGACAATTTTGAAGGTACCAATAGGTATACTTTGGAAACTAAATGTCACTAAAAATCGTTGAAGAATGAGCTTCATTCTTCAACGATTTTGCGTGCGGGAATAATGACATTCTCACATCAAAATCGAGAAAATCAATTCTCTACTACAACACCTCGATGCAATACCTCTTTCAACTATAAAGAAGCATTTCTGAAGCTACAAATACTTGGGCAAAATTATATGGACTTCATCTAAAGAAAATGAAGCTGTTTTGGTTTGGAAGATATGGATTAGGATGAAGCTAAGGTCTTAGTTTTTAATAAACCCCCATAAGATAAAGACTGAGAGGCAATAAGCATTGAGTGGCTTTAAAGAGTCTGTAGAGCTATTAAAGCTATATCTGCTTCTTTCGACAATCGTCCACAAAGTTATTCATAGTGTTATAAACCCGCCATTCGTACTTTTTGATTGCCCCCTGTAACTACAGTTAAAGAAGCCAGAAAATTCGACTATTTTATAGATGAACTGAATCATGAAAATTCGAGCGTGTTAGAGAAGGACGCACATAACTATAAAAGCACCGGTGCGCACCGCGTAAGGATCAGTTCTGATTGACATACGACAAGTGCAGTAAACGGTAAAGTCGGGAACTAAATAACCACGTTCGGAAATAATCGTGCTGTATAAGCTTTATTTGGAGTAGTACGGAGTGTGAAGTAGTGTTAAATTTCGTGTGATTTTTATGTTATTAGAGAGTTATTGGAACTATTAAATACTGCCTCGCAGTATTAAGGATCTACGTTATTTTATTAGTGCATCAGCACTATTTTTCCAAGAAAAAAAACAGTTATTGGAAGACTGTAGTAGGTGCTAGAGTATTACCTTATTTTGTATCCATAATTTTGACAGCTGATAGCTATGTTTATAAATTTCAAC